TGCTGACAAAGCAGCTGGGACTCCGGCGCGCCTTCCCAACCAGCTGGGCCAATGGTCCCGCAGCTGGAGATCGCAGGGGCTGCTCTCTCTCAGGGCCGTGGCTTGCGGGAAGGCTGGCCTGCTCAGCAGAGGCTCTGACAGGCTGCTCCCAGTGGGGATTCCAGGCTTCCCCGTGCGGTTCCCCGACCACGTGTACCTCAGACGGGGCCAGCCAGGGAAAGGGACTTCCTGGCCGCGCTTCTCCCAGAGGGCGGGGCGCCTGGGCACAGGGCCAATCAGGAGCCCTGCGAGGGGGCAAATCCGCATGAGAGAGAAAGAGAGAAGCACAAGTGCCTCTCTCTGTCTCTCTCTACAAATGGCAGAGGATGCTCGGAGCTGCAGGGGAAGGCTCAAAAGTGTCCTCAAAACATCTTGCTCCATCGCCCCCCTATCGCCCCCTTTTCGTTCCATCACCCCCACGCCGCCCCTTTTCGTTCCATCGCCCCCCTGAAAAATGAAGTCGCCCCCTGGGGGGCAGTACCGCCCAGGTTAAGAACCACTGATCTAGTCCAACGCCCTGCTCAGGCAGGAAACCCTATACCAGTGGTGGCGAACCTATGGCACGGATGCCAGAGGCGGCACTCGGAGCCCTCTCTGCGGGCACACGTGCTGTTGCCCCAGCCTTGCCTCCCCCACGACCCCCTCTCCAGCAGCCCCCCTGAAGGAGAGTGGCCCTCGAGCATGGCCCACATAGAGCAGCGCAGCCAAGGACATGGCAGCCAGGCTGCGTAGACAAGACTTTGCCTTCACACCCCATCATGCAGTTGATGCTGCAGGGTGCGGGCAGAGGGTGTGGCCGCCATAGCACTGCTGGACTGCCTGGGCGATCTGTGGCGAGCCCTGGAGGCGGTGAGTGGTCCTGTGGGAAAGTGGGGTGGGGGCAGGGCAGGGCCAGTTTTTGGGCACTCGGTCTCTAAAAGGTTCGCCATCACTGCCCTATACCATTTCGGACAAATGGCTGTCCAGTCTCTTCTTAAAAACTTCCAGTGTTGGAGCATTCACTGCTTCTGGAGGCAGGTTGTTCCACTGGTTAATTGTTCTAACTGTCAGGAAGTTTCTCCTTAGTTCTAGGTTGCTTCTCTCCTTGATTAGTTTCCATCTGTTGCTTCTTGTCCTGCCTTCAGGCGCTTTGAAAAATAGCTTGACTCCCTCTTCTTTGTGGCAGCCCCTGAGATATTGGAACACTGCTATCATGTCCCCACTCGTCCTTCTCTTCATTAAACTAGACATACCCAATTCCAGCAGCCGCTCCTTATATGCTTTAGCCTCCAGTCCCCTAATCATCTTTGTTGCTCTTCTCTGTACTCTTTCTAGAGTCTCAACATCTTTTGATGTTGATGATATTCACGGAATATGTGGGAAGTATTTTAAATGAAGAGCAAAGTAGTAATAGGCTGAGGTTCTAGAATTTATATAGTTCTGCTGCACATGGAATGTTATATTTTTTTTATTGATTGGATCTTGAGTAAATCATAGCCCGAGTAAAATAAATAACTATATCAATAAATATATAGTAAACTTGTCTGATTGCTCCCTCCTATGTAAAACTCTAACTGCAGATCATAAAGTAACTGATCAGAAAGAGGTTTATATTAACCTTTTCTCCCTGGTATGCCATTACACATCCATCCTTCCACCTTACAAAAAAGATAAAAAGAGCCAACCCTCTTGCATCCAGCTTGATACAATACAATTCTTATTTCAATAATGTTATTTTGCATAATGGCTGTAAAATGAATATTCAATTTGAAACTGTAACTATGACATTTAGGTAATTATTAAGAAAATAGAAACAGTAGCATGTACTCTTTAAAAAAGGAAAAAAAATATCCCATTCTTTCAATACTTACAGTAGATACAGACTTGTAAATATACAAAGGAAATAGAATAGTCAAGTAAAAGAAATGTTTCTCATATGCAGATTGTTTTATTCACAAGAAGAAAATAAATAACTTTACAGATGTGGTTCATCATGCCTGTATCCATTATGGAATCATTGTGTGTATTCATAATGGCAATTCTTATTAACAGTAAATATTTTAACGTTTGTAAAATAAGTACGGAAGGAAACACAGCTTGGAGAAATTTAAACATGAACGGAAATTTAAGTTAGCTGTCTAAAAATAATACAATGGGACCACCAGAAGGTTTCTCAATTTAAAATTTCCTGCTAAATAAAAATGAGAAATGATGACCAATGAAGTTTTAAACCATGTCATACATCCTGTAAGTTTAAAAGGAAAAAAAGAACAATAAGCTAGTAAGTCATAGTATAATGGAATTGCAGAATAACAGATGTAGCAGTAGTTAGAAGAAATGAAACTGATATTTCCTTCAATGTCAAATATTTATTTTTTAAAAAAATGGGAGAATTGAGAATCTTGTCTTGTAGCTTTAATATACAATACAATAATATAATACATAAAAGTTAGTCCTAAGCAAGCAACAAACTGTATCTATACAGAAAAGTTTGAAAAGATAACCACCAAGAGAATGGTTTATTATCCATTGACTGAAAAGTAGACTCAGAACTTAAACCTGGGAGCACAGGCCTTAGTAAAAACTTTTACTTCTTAATATGGCACAATGTAAAATTTCTGTCTATATATACTCTAGCTATATTCTTTCTGCAATAAAGAATCTGATCTAACTAAGCTGTCTCTTGAAAGCCTACAAGTTGGTCAATTCCTAAATAAGAGATTAGATGTCTCAAGAGCTAAGATTTATTGCCAAAACTTGTGTAATGCCTGACAGATATAAACCCAAATCTACCACAGTGGCAACATATGCAATTCAACATATCTTTATAATTGAGAAGGGGCATTGTCTTACATGAACGCCTTTTCTCAGCATGAAGAATGGAGAATCCACGAATGGGTTAAAGAAGTCCTCTAGCCCAATCAGACCAAATCAATCAATCAAGTTGCCATGCCCCTGCTGGACTGGACCTTGCCCCAGTTTCGAAAAAGGGCGAAGCTAATGACTGTATGACGTGTTGGCTCCCAGTCTACTGACACTGACCTGACTGTGAATTCCAAAGAAAAGGGAGGGGGTGGATTCTCCATTCTTCATGCTGAGAAAAGGCGTTCAGGTATGACATCGCCCCTTCTCCAGCATGGAAAAGAATGGAGAATCCATGAATGGGACATACCAAAGCCCATGTGACCCTACGGGTGGGAAACAGGCTGGTCAGATGTTGAAGTTGTCTGAACCACCTGTTGCAAAACATGGTGGCCAAAGGAGGCCTCTGCAGAGGCAAACTTATCAAGCTTGTAATGACAGATAAAGGGGGAAGAGGAAGACCACATTGCCGCCCTACAAATGTCAACGATAGAAGCTTGAGTGTGCCACGCAGCTGATGTAGAAGCACTGCGTGTGGAATGCGCTGTTAAATGGCTTGGAACAGGCAGGGAACGTACCCGGTACGACTCCGCAATGCAGGCCTTGATCCACCTGGCAATAGTAGAGGAAGAGACCTTCTGTCCCCTAGAAGCCAGATGGAAAGATACAAAAAGTACCTCCAATCTACGAAAGGCAGCTGTCCGCTTAATGTAATATCGCAGGGCCCTGCGAACATCTAGAGCATGCCATTTCCGCTCCAAGTCGTGTGATGGGTTAGGACAAAAGTCCGGCAACACAACCTCCTGTGCCCTATGAAATAAGGAGTTAACCTTGGGGATGAATGAGGGGTCCAACCGCAAGACCACTCTGTCCTGGTGAAAGGTGCATAGGTTTTCCCTTACGGAAAGAGCTGCTAATTCCGAGACGCGCCTCGTCGATATCACAGCTATTAAGAAGGCCACCTTAAGGGACAAGTGGCGCAGAGTGCAAGATCTGATGGGTTCAAAAGGGGTTCCTGTAACAGCCTGCAGTACCCGCGGCAACTCCCAAGTAGGGTAACGATGGACTACAGGAGGCTTACTGTTTGTAACCCCCTTGATAAAGGAACGACCCCTTGGATGTTGAGTTAATGGTGCGTAATTGGCACAGGTGAAAACCGTGGAGAGAGCCGTCACCTGCCTACGGATAGTGTTGGGTGCTAGGCCCTTATCCACGCTCTCCAATAGATAGTCGAGTATCCTTGGAATAGTAACAGAAGAAATGGACAAACTATGTTGATCACACCAGTGACAGAGGTTCCTCCAAGTGGCATCATAAATCCGATTTGTTGCCGACCACCGAGAGGCCTGAATCATTGAGATCACTCCTGAGGAGTATGAACCCTGCGTTAGGAACTGGCGTTCAGATGCCAAGCAGTTAACTGGAGCCACTGCAGGTCTGGGTGTCGTATGACCCCTTGTAGCAGGATTATCCGATCTGGAGGAATCCTCCACGGAGGAGCTACAGTGAGGCTCATGAGATCCACGAACCATGGTTGCCTCGGCCAGTGTGGGGCCACAAATATCAGCTCCGCTTGTTCTTGCAACAGTTTTCTGATGACCAGTTTTCTGGTATCAGGGGAAACGCTGGGAAGGCGTATAGTAGTCCTGCAGGCCAAGAGCTGCGGAGAGCATCTACTCCCTCTGACCCGAGAGGGGAAACGGGAGAAGAACCGTGGGATCTAAGCATTCACCAGGGAGGCAAATAGATCAACACTCGGTTGACCGAACCGCTGCACAATCTCTCTGAAGAGATGTGGATGCAGACTCCATTCTGAATGGTCTACTGTAGAGCGACTCAGATAATCCGCCTGCCGGTTCACCTCCCCTGAAATGTACTCCGCCTTCAGGGAAAGGAGATTCCACTCCACCCATGATCCCAGTAACTGGGCCTCGGACATCAGTGCCTGCAATCAAGTACCGCCCTGCCAGTTGACATGGGCCTTTGCCGCCACATTGTCTGTCAGGACCAATACGTGGCACCCCGCAATCGTTCTGTGGAAGTGGCAAAGTGCCAGGTGTTTAGCCTTGAGTTCCAGCCAAGTTGATGTTTTGTCTGAGGTCCCGCTGGGACCACTGGCCCTGGGCAAATTGAAGTTGGAGGTGTGCCCCCCAGCCAAATAGACTGGTGTCCATGGTCAAGGTCACACGAACGGGCTCTCTGAAGAGGGATCCCCTGGATAAGGCTGGTGAGAGCCACCAGAGAAGGGATCCGAGCGTCTGTGCTGGGACTCGTATCCTCTGGGGAAAAGAGCTTATGCCCTGCCTTTGGTAGGGAAGTAAGAACCACTGGAGCTGTCTTATGTGAAGCCTGGCCCAAGGAACTATGGCAATGCAGGAAATTAGTTTCCCCAACAGTTGGGAGAGCAGGGCTAGGGTCACCTGTTGTTCCCTGCGGATCTTGAGGACCAGAGTACGGATGCTGACTTGACGCTCCTGCGATAGGAATACTTGACAAAGGGTTGTGTCTGTTATAGCGCCTAAGTGTAATAGGTGAGTGGCTGGAATCAAGTGGCTCTTTTGAAAATTGATTAAGAAACCATGATCTTGAAGCATCCCTATGGTTAGCTCCAGATCCGTCAGTGTGTTCGGTGCTGAGGACGACTGGATTAGGATGTCATCCGAGTAGCACTGAACGCGAATTGGTACTGACCTGAGATATGCGGCAAGTACCACCAGGACCTTGGTGAAAACCCTGGGGGCTGATGATAGGCCAAACGGGAGAGCCTTGTATTGGAAGTGATGGTTGGAGTACCTGAACCTGAAGAATTGTCTGTGATTCGGATGAATGGGGATGTGAAGGTATGCCTCTGTAAGGTCTACTGATGTCAGGAAGTCTCCCTGCCGTACGCTGGCCAAGATGGATTGAAGTGTCTGCATCTTGAACCTGCGATACGACAGATGTGAGTATAGAACCTTGATGTCCAGTATCGCCTTCCATCCCCCTGAAGATTTCGGTACTATGAATAGGATGGAGTAAAACCCCTGCCCCAGTTGGTCCGATGGTACCCGCTCTATGGCCTCTATGCTTAAGAGATGTTGAATGGCTTCCTGCATGAGGCCTTTTACGGGATTCCGTGACGATGTAGTGTCAACGGGGGGTTGTCACAAATTCCAGGGACAAGCCGTCCCTGATGGTGATGAGCACCCAAGTGTCCATGGTGGTGTCCTCCCATTTGTGAATGTAATGTCAGTCTGCCGCCTATGGGAAGGGTCCACCCCAAGTCACCTTGACCTATGGAAGGGGCGACCTCCTCTGCCTCGAAAAAGCCGTTTGTTCGGAACCTGCTGTCTGGGCCTTTCTCTGTAACCGGACCGGTCCAAGGAACGGTCCAGTCCTGCTGGAAAGGGCAGTGATACATTTCCTGAGATCGGATCTGATCCCGATCGAAAGGGAGGGCGACGGTTATATGGGGCGAAACGCCTGCGCGATCTTTTGGACAGATGGTAAAGTACCCTCCTCTTTTCCCTGTTTTCCACCAGGTACGGAGTGAGGGCCTCCCCAAAGAGGCGACCACTCTGGTACGGGACCGCAGCCACCCTCCATTTGTGCTTGGTGTCGGCACACCAATTCCTAAGCCAAAATAACCTACATGCGGCAACGTTGGAGGCTATGGCACGGGCAGAGGACCTAGCCACTTGGAGAGACACGTCTGCCATGTATTCCAAGGCCGCCCGCAACTTGGTCACGTCCTGGTGTACCCTTACCTCCTCTGGGGAGATTCTGGACTGGAGTTCACGTAGCCAGATCAGAGAGATCCTGGCGAAAAAGGAATTCAAAGTGGAAGCTCTTACCGCCCACGCCGAGGCCTGGTGTGTCCTATGGAAGGAAACCTCTGATTTTTTGTCCTCGGCCTTCAGCGCCTCCAACATGTCGCCTAGAATGTTGGATTCTGAAAGGATGGGAGTAAGGGACTCGTCCACTCCCGGAACCTCCAACGCCTCGTGGGCACACGTGCCGTTGCCCCAGCCTTGCCTCCCCCCCCGTGACCCTCTCCAGCAGCCCCCCTGAAGGAGAGTGGCCCTCGAGCATGGCCCCATTGATCCTGCACTGATTTCAGAAACATGGGAGGACGAGGAATCTGTTGATGTTTCACTACAGGTTCTGAGAACAGTGGGCTGGTATCCTGACCGGGTGTCTGATCGGGCGCCGGAGTCTTTTCCGGTTCGATCTTTCCAGTGGCGCAGGCCTTGCGTGAGAGGAGAAAGAAGTAGGGTTGAACAAACCTACCAAGGGAGGGGCCTCCGTATGCGTCTCCTCATCATCCGACCACTGACCCTCTTCTAGGACCTTCTCCAAATATTCGGATACCTCGCTCCCACAGGAATGTGATGGAGAAGCTGGATCCAGGTACTGATAATCCCTGGATGTGAAGTCCCCGCATAAGAGGATGTGATGTCTCCAGGGTCGCTGGAGCATGCACTGAAGAAGCCATAGCTTGAGCAACAGCCTGAGAAATCATGGCCTGGAGTTGGTCCGTAAATGTTGGTTGTGTTGTGGCTCCGTCCGGTGGGTCCCTCTCATCAGAGGAGGAAGGCTCTGAACATGACGGAGAGGAGATGGCTAGGTCCCTCTCTCCCGGCCCTTCCCCTCTGGTGCAGCCTTCGGTGCCTTCCGACAGCGAGGAGTTTGGCCAGGAGCCCGGTGTTTCTGGACTTGGCCAGGAGCCCGGT